TTCATGGAATGTATTTCTAAGGCAAAATGCACAGAACCAGACTATAAGATGTTCATTTCTACAGAAAATACAGTAAGAAAAGCAGGCTGAAACTCCTCCTTATCAGATTTTGATCTCCTGGGATTACTACTGATCTCCAGGCAGGAGAGATCAGTTTACTTGGAGAAAATGGCCACTTTGCAAGGTTAACTGTATGGCATCACATTCCCATTGAGCTCCTTTCAGTCCCCAAACTCCACCCCCCAAATCTCCAGGTATTTCCCGATCCTGGAGGTGGCAAACCTAAAATGCGAGTCCATAACAAAATCCAAAAAACAAAAACTTTTTTTATGTTCAACCCCAAAACAAAAGCTGTGAAATATCTTTTATTAGGCCCAACCACAATAACACAAAACAGTGTACAAGCTTCAAGGGGTCGGGGAGAACTTTCTGACTAGGATCCTGAGGTCCTTCTAAGACAATGGCCTAGAAGTTACTATATTCACATCTACCCACCTTTTGTCTTTTGAATATCGAGCCTGATTAAGAGTTCTGGAGCAATCGAAAGCTTACACACAATGCCGTTATTTCGGTGGGTTGTAATAAAAACCATCACCTACCGTGTTTCCCCGAAAATAAGACACTGTCTTATATTTATTTTTTATCAAGAAGACACACTAGGGCTTACACCACAAATGCATAGAAATCCTGCTAGGGCTTATTTTTGGGGTAGGTCTTATTTTCGGGAAACAGGGTAGTCTTCCCTATTATATCGGCTTTTTTTTTTTTTTGCGGGAGAGACGAGGGAAGGATTGTTTTATAACGTAAATGTAAGACAAGGGTAAGGCAGTTACCAGTCAATATACCCGGTGTACACCATCCGAGCAGTTAATTTATAATCGGATGCTTATGCCCTGCACGAGCGCCTTCGTCAGGACCCAGCGTTTCGTGAACACGAGAGTTATCCCGCATACACGTTTTGCAGGGAACGGACACATTCCAATCGGTCCTCCGCACGAGCGATCTGCGGTTACGACCGTGAACACGAGGCGTCCCGGGGCCGAGAGAAACGCGCACAGCCTCCCCACCCAAAGCCATAATAGCCGCCGCTGGTGTTCCGAATTAGGCTCCTCTTCTTTCCACCCTCTTATAAAATGAAAACCGGCTGTCTTTTAAGCATCCTGCCTTGGGAATTCAAACAACCCCCCCCCCCCTCCCCATCCGCGGACCTTACTTCTAAGTAAGTTTAGGGAAAGCGCTTGGATACTAGGGTGGGGGGCTACAGAGGGAGGGAGAGAGAAGCAAAGCAGGGCAGCGCTTAGCCGCTCCCCCCGGCACGAAACCGCCGCGACGCTCGCAAGGAGGGAAGCAGCCCTGGCATAAGCGCTTCCTTCCTTCCGCGTCTGAGCGGCGGCGGCGGCGAAGGAGGAGGAGCCGGGCCGGTGGCGCGTCGCTCCTGACGGCCTCCAGGAGGGACCAAGAGCGAGGAGGTGAGTCCCCTCTGGGTGGGGTGAGGCGCCAGGGCTGTCCAAAGAGCCAAGCTGGGCGGGAAGGCGCGGAGCGTGGGGACGTCGGGCGCGCTCTCCTGGCCAGCTCGGCGGCGGAGGTCGTCCGAGCTGGCTTGGGAAGCGGCGTGAGCCAACCAGGCCTAGCCCAGCGAGCCCCGGCAGCTCTGCAGGACCGCGGCCCGGCCTGCGAGGAAGGCGGGCTGTGTGGTGTAACCACCCCCGCCCGCACCCCCAAGCTGGCCTGGCGCTCCGGGTGGGCGCGTCGAGGGGAGGCCGCGGCCCAGTGCGAGGCTTTGTGCGCGCGTGAACGGCGGAGGGAGCGCGGCCCCTTCTGGGAGATTCCTCCGCGAGGACCCCCGCCGTTCTGGGGCGGGAGGTGCGGAGTCTTGTGAGCAGAAATTCTACTTTGTGAGCTACTGGCATCAATGTTCCCTCTAAGCTGTGGAGTCTTGTGAGCAGAAATTCTACTTTGTGAGCTGCTGGCATTAAAGTTGTGAGCAAGCGATTTGGCCACTGCATAAATTAGTTTGCTCTGGAGCCATCCTCCTGAGCTAAGACAAAAATGTGTGAGCCAGAGGCTAAAAAACTGTGAGCTAGCTCACACTAACTCAGCTTAGAGGGAACACTGACTGGCATTCAAGTTGTGAGCGAGCGGTTTGGCTACTGCATACATTAGTTTGCTCTGGAGCCATCCTTCCTGAGCTAAGACAAAACCGTGTGAGCCAGGGGCTAAAAAACTGTGAGCTAGCTCACACTCCCATCAGCTTAGAGGGAACACTGCTTTGGAGCATCTGCAGCGTTCCTTTTTGTGTCACATTTGCTGTTACCCCTCGGGATTTTAAAGAGGAAGGGGTTTGCAGTGTGACTCGCTGGTGGGCTTCAGAAATGGGGGCGTGAGAAAGTTGCACAGGAAGGGGAAAAGGGTACATCTGGTATTTGCAAACAAGGGCTGTCAAACGTCTAGGCTTAGGGTTGTCCACTGACTAATTTGCTCCTGGCGTGACTCCCCCCCCCCCTTATGTGGTTTGGTGCCACATAACAGAGGAAACAGGAGAAGAGTCCAATTTGAATTCTTCGGTATTCAGGCAAAGGAATTTGCTGTACTGTGCCTTTGAGACCTTAGGATACTAGGCTTGCAACTGATTTTCATTTTCAGCCCAGGCCTTTCTGTGCCTCAAAAGCAGCTTTGGTAAACACTGTAGCTATCTTGGGCTGCCCTTTTCTCCTTTCCCTTCCCTCCTGATATCCTCAACCAAGAGAGAGAGAGAGATCTGCTGTGACCTCAGCTGTGCTGCATGGAGACCAGTGTTCCCTCTAAGCTGAGTTAGTGTGAGCTAGCTCACCGTTTTTTAGCCTCCGGCTCACAGATTTTTGTCTTAGCTCAGGAAGGATGGCTCCAGAGCAAACTAATTTATGCAGTAGCCAAATCTCTCGTTCACAACTTTAATGCCAGTAGCTCACAAAGTAGAATTTCTGCTCACAAGACTCCATAGCTTAGAGGGAACATTGAATTGGAGACACAGGGGTTACATCCCTTAAATGCACTGAACTCTACCCCTTGACTCCACTGATCCTGCCCTTGGCTCGATTTATGCTTTCCAAGAATTGGCAAACCCTGTCACTGCTTGGCCAAGGGTTGTACTGACTTAGAGGATATTTTGGTCAGGTTTCACGCAGGCAGGATGATGAAGTTGTATAGCAGACTGCCACCACATTTCAGGTGTTAGACTGCTGTTTTGGAATGTTTCTTAAGCAGCTCCGTGTGTATACGTAAGGTGTTGTCAAGTCGCAGCCAACTCATGGAGACCCGATAGGGTTTTCAAGACAAGAGACTAACACGTGGTTTGTCAGTGACTTTCTCTGCATAGTAACCCTGGAATTCCTTGGTGGTCTTTCATCCAAGTACTTAGCAGCAGTGACCCTGCTTAGCTTCCGAAGTCTGACAAGATGGGCTTAGCCTGGGCCATCCAGGTTAGAGAAGCAACTCTATGTATTTAGGAAAACTAGCCATGGCAACTCAGAATGTTCTAGCTATAGAACATTTCCTTACTTTGCTGTACAGCTTTTCTGTTTGCAGAGAACATTCCAAAATATGATCCTCCACCAGCAGCTGGAAGAGGTGTAGCCCGTTTACCTCAGGATTCTGTTACCTTTTTCTCCTGTGTGTGTGAACCAGGCCTTGGAAGGGTTATGAGACCTAGGAACTGAAACTCCACGTCTGTCATCTCACTTGTGTCATGACTTGCAAGGACATATTATGAGGCATTCAGATTTTGTTCTCTAAATCAGGGAGGTACACTATGATTTATTGTATTCTAAGCCTTATTTTATCATGCACAACACTCTTTTCTGTTGTGGAGGCACTCTTTTGTTGTGAAGCACATTCTTCCAGCATAGTGTCTATTGCTAAAGAAATATGATCCGCAGTAAAGGACCAATTCTACAGTGGATTAAGGGGACACAGGTAGAGGTGTAACATTTCCGGAAATTTTGAAGCCACAGGGAAAACCCCCTTCCCGCCCTGTTTTTTTTCAAGAAAAAAAACCAACAGAAATTTTGGGAAAAACCAAAATACATGGAATACTTGCTGTCCTGTCAAACCTAAACACAAGCTTTATGTTAAATAACATAAAATATTATTTGGTCAGGAAAAGGAATTACAAAAGTGTCAATAATATCTGCACAGCTAGATGTCGTTCCAGCTAGATGCGGTCTTCTTTCTATAGCTATTGGTTAGAGAGGTCAGTTCTCAGTGATATTTTTTCTCTCCAGCAAGGTAGTACAATAAGCTACTTGATACCAAATCTGTGCATATATATGTCATAGTAGTTTGAGGGAGAGGTGAAAAGGTCAAGCATGGTAAGAATCAGGTCAAAAGGAGCACAGAAGCAATGAAAACCCTGCATCCCCCCCCATGAAGATCAGGTATCCTTCTAGGTGCAGATGTTGTATTTAAGAGCTGTATATGTATATAGTGTGGTGACCTTGTCTTTAAAAGCATTTCACTCATTCTGAAAGACAAAATATTTCATAGGAGGTGTTTTTTTCCAGTACTCCCTAAACTTTACAATTTGTCTGTCAGAAAAATTGAAACGAAGGCCTCAGGAAAAATGGGAAATAACCGTTTTCCAAATTTTTGCCATTTCCCCCTAGGCCTTCACATCTCTAGACACAAGTGGACAGAAGACTTGGGATTTAGATGTCCCTGTTTTGGTTCCTCACTTCCTGGTGGAGATGCAGTGGATAGAGGCCTTGACAACTATCTTGTGTAAGGAAGCATGAGATGGTGATGGTGTGTGCTACTTTCTGTTTCACTGGGGAGCCAAATTCCATGACAGAATGGGATGTGCTGCATATTAAGATGGACCTGAGGCCAGGATTTGGCACATGCTGCTTCAGTGATGTGATTGCCTCACTTTATGGTCAGTTCACAACTCAGTGTGCACTTTAATTACTCAGGGATTCCATTGTTATGTACAACTTGGCCGGAAAGCTTCCCAACGTGTTCTTCTAGCACAATACCAATTACATCCACAATCACTGCATATCAGTTTAGTTTTGAACAGTCCTTATTTCAAGCATTTAATGCTGTTTCATATATTACTTTTTAAAAAGACTCCTTATCTAAACTCAGGAGTCACGCATTTTCTTGGGCAGAGGGTAATATGAGACGACACTCATGGGATGCAGTCTTCAGAATCAGTTCTGGTATTTGTGCACCAATTTTTAAAAACATGAACGATGTTTGAGGCATTATGCTATCACATGCCTTATAGAGGAAGCTGCCTTCACGCTGGGAGCCAAAAAGGCCTGTAGATCTAAAGAGACTAAGTACATTTGTAATGCCTTTCTCTCTCAGAGTAGTGATAAAGCTGAAAACTATCTAGAGGGGTTGAACTTGTAGAACTAGCAATTCTATGCTGTAGATGGATTTTTCTAAAAAACGAAGAAATGTATGAGAAATAAATCCTACAGGATCCATTGTATAGAATGGTTTGATTCTCATGTTACTTCTTCCGATGTGTTAGGTACTCAAGAGGTTGAGTAGGAAGAACATAAAAAATAATATAAATATATATTGCACAGTGCACCAGGGCTGAATGAAGAGATTGATCGGCTATGTATGGATTAAGTTTAAAGTGCTCGGCCAGTTCCTTCTCCCGCCTTCCTCCCCCTCCCCTTCAGAAGGTGAAGCCAGGTTGTACAGGTGACATTACATCATCCCTCTTCCTTCGCCACTTCTATATCAGATCTTTTAAGACCTCACTTTCAGTCACTTTTAATTCTGGTTCACATTTGCACACACGGAGGAAATACAGCTACGGCCAAGGACAGGTTGGTTTATATAAAAAAATCTTTTAAAATGATATAAACATTATTGCTGACTGTTTGAGGGGGGCATACTTCATGTTATTTCGATAATACCATATTTATGTTATACCTTGTGGTTATGCCATCTCCTTTACAGAATATTGGTTCAGAGATATCAGAGTGCGGGCTCCTTTGTGATATACAGGCCTGTCTTTCATTCTTTATTTGGAGCCTTAGCCTGTAGTGTAAGTTACAACTATTCTATTCATTTTTTTGCAAAGCATCTTTCCAGTTAAGGTCACCATGTTATAGTCTAACAACTTTACATATCTATTATTTTTAGGAATTATTTAAAACCTTCCTGGCCCCCCAAAAGAAAAGATATTTTCCCTTTATGTGTGGGCAACACGGTTTCAACCATTGAAGAAGGCCCTTAGGGCTGAAATTCGTCTGGCTTTGTGGTTACATATCTTTATGTGAAACCATTGTTGACATCTTGTTATCACTGTATGTACAACTCCAGTTGGTTGCTGTCAGTGTTCCCCCTAAGCTGAGTTAGTGTGAGCTAGGTCACAGTTTTTTAGCCTCTGGCTCACACATTTTTGCCTGAGCTCAGGAAGAATGGCTCCAGACCAAACTAATTTATGCAGTCGTCAAATCGCCTGCTCACAACTTTAATGCCAGTAGCTCACAAAGTAGAATTTTTGCTCACAAGACTCCACAGCTTAGAGGGAACGTTGGTTGCTGTATGGTTGCTGTATATGACATTTTAATCTCTATGTATGTTTGTTGTTTCTAACTTTGACCTAGTGTACTATGCAGTAAATATTTATATTATTTTTTATGTTCTTGCTACTCAGCCTCTTGAGTATCTAACTTGATTTTCAGGTTGGGGTTGTTTTCTTTTTGTTGTATACGTCTTCCAATGTGGACATTAATACTTGTATGTTAAACTGGATGTATTATAAAGTGGCTATAGGAGTGTGTATTCTAGTCCTGAGGTGCATATTTGGAAAACAGTGATCATATCAGAAATAATGTGAGGATCGACCATACTTTTAGTTTGGTCATGTGAGAAAAAGGAAAGAGAATGTTGATGTAGAACATTGTTTGTTACTGTTGCTTGGAATTATTTATACGTCATGCTTGCTCAATGTAGAGGCCCTAGCCTTGACTGAGAAATATAGGAGTTGTTATACTGTGAGCATAGTATTAAAGGCCTGTATAATAACTGCACCTATTATAGGAGAGCTCTCATTTTGTATCCACGTAAGTGTGGTGTGTGATAATTTTACACTGTAAGAGAGCATAGCTTAAAATAAAGAAAGATTAAGTTTTTGGGTTAAAGGGTGTTCATAAAATCCTTCTTAGATTGGAGACTGATACTGAAAGGGGGGGGGGAAACCCTTAAAATGAATCCATATTGAGGGGAGTGTCTCTGTTTCAACTGAGTGATACTTGGCAAATGCATGCAGATCTGTTAACACATAGCACTGTGACAATGGGAATAGCAGACTGGAGGGAAATATTTGAGGTGTAAATATATGCACTTTCTTCAAGGGAAGAGGGGTGGCATTTGGAAGTTTCTATCCTACATATAAATAGTTCTTGGATGCTAACCACATATTGTTGGCTTAAATCTCAGTGCACTGGTCAGGAATAAAGGAGAGGCAGATTGCAGCCTGGTGTATTACAGTGGCTTGATATAATTCAATAGAGCTGTTTTATTGGACTCTATTAACCTGGTTAACCTTAAGCCTTAGCCATGACAGGAGTTTCATATAAGAACCCATATGTAAAGTGCAATATTGAATTTTAATTAGAGCTTTCAAGATGTGGAGTGGAAGGAATTCTCCCCAGTTCTTCCTTCTAATGTGCATTTTTTTCTCCTTAGAAGTTTAGGCTTGAGAAAATGCCGTGTGATGGAGAGAAACCATATTTTCATGTCAGTTTCTAAAAGCAATAATGCGAACAAATTTCCGATGTAAAAGTTGATCTTGGAATTTGGGTCCTTGTCAACATGTGATTCCGTCAGAAATTTCTATTAGTCTATGTTACAGGTCTTTTCTGGCAACTGAGGGGCCCCACACAGCCTCTTATGATTTTGGGGGACCAGGCTTGTTTTAAACTGTAAACCTTTACCTCAGTTACAGGACGTTCTTAGGCTATCAAGTGTAAAGGCTTTGGGCTCACTGCTTTGAGGTAAGTTTTGTGGGGAGCAAGTAGAACACGGAGAGAACCGAGGCAGTAACAAAGAAGATTGATTTATTTTCTGGTTGGTTTTAAAGAACAGAACAGCAGTACGGGTCTCCAGGCAGTCAGAAGAGAAACCTGGCCGAGGCATATCAATTTAAACTACTTATGGCTTCGGAGTGTTGTTTGAATTTTTTTAAATGCTTACGGATACAAACAGGCTTTCAGTGACTAGCCACTAGGTTGGCTACTTTCACACACACACAGGGTACCACCCCACACCAGCCTATCATTTCCCAAGAGTCTGACTCAGTGGTACAAGGTCTGATTGCCAGAGACAGGCCTCACCACTGGGTACTCTGTTCTCTCCCAGAGGTAGAGCCAGGGCTATTTTTGGGCAGGAATGCACAGGAACGGAGTTCCAGCTGGCTCCTGAGTTGGCCACGCCCAGCAGGAACTCATTAGCATAATAGGCCACACCCAACAGCAGAAACTCATTAGGATTGGTTACATTAGGGGTGTGTGGCCTAACATGCAAAGGAGTTCCTGCTACAAAAAAAGCCCTGAGTTTTGACAACAAACAAGGTGAACAGAATAAGAAGCAAAAGGTGGGTGTGGCTGGATGACCACACTTCTGATAACATGGGGGTGCAGCCTAATGTGCTAATGAGCTGTGCTGTCAGGGTTGTGGCCTAATATGCTAATGCGTTTCTGCTGTTGGGTGTGGCCTATTATGCTAATGAGTTCCTGCTGGGCTTTTTCTACAAAAAGAGCCCTGGGTAGAGCTAAACCACTCTGCCATGCCACCGGGCAGAGCTATCTTCAGAATGTCTGCTCTTTTGCTGAGGCAGACCAGGCTATCGTTGCACGCTCCCTGAGGCCCTCTCCTGCTGTGTTTCCCTCAAGCATTCCATTCCCCCTCCCCCAAAAGGTGATTGGATGCTGGAGCACTGTGTGCTTGGTGGTGTTATTTTGAAATCCGTGACCCGTCCTATTCCTTTCTGTTAGTGTTTGCCTTACAGAAGATATCGCAACGGCTTTGCTGTCGGTGCCAGTGTAATTCTATGACTTGTGATGTGGCACTAGCGTAAGAAAGCCTTGCACCTTACTGCCGTTCACTTGTTAAAATTGTGAAGCAGAGCATATGAGTAGGTTCCTAATGATAGCTCAGTAGTATTTACTTCGCAACTCACGGAGAGCCACATTTGCATTTACTGTCACTTAAAAGGGTCACGTGACCAACTTACGCCTGTGTACTACCTCACCAAACACATACGTACAATAATATTGAGTATAAATATTTAAATATATGACCTTTTAAATTGCCAGGCTACTTCTGCGAATGCAGGGCTGTTTCACCCCACCATTGTGGAGCCTTAGCCCGTCCTTGTATATCGGTAGTGAGTGGAAAGGCTTCCGTCTCAGCTGCCTTGCTGTGTCCTCAGCATGAGGAACAGCAACTAGGTGAGAGAGTGATGTTGTTAAGGCTCCCGGAAGACAGCAAGCTGGCCAAGAAAGGGGAGTAAAACCACCAGCACCCCACTGTGGCCAGCTTCCTCTTTTCCTGAGTGAATCTTCTGTGATGGCTGTAACCTCCGTCCTCTGTGGCCAGATTGTTCTTCTCCTGGTACCTGCCTTGCTGCTGGGTTGAAAGTGCAGAGGCTATGGTGAGGCTAGTTGGGCAGAACAGGCCCATCTGTCTCTAGCATGAATCCTGCAGCTCACAGCTTACCTGTCTTGCTGTCCTGTGGCAACTGTTTCCAA